CCCAATTGAAAGGGGACTTGTCCATGGAGATAGTTTCCATATTGTTCCAATGGGGAGGCAAAAAAATGAGACACATCCGCGTGGGTTTTTTGAATAGTTAACCATCCCAAAAGGGCTACGATCCGCTTGGTTGACATTTTGACCAATAACTGACTGATGGGCCTGCAAGTCAAAGTGTTTTTATAAGCTCCCTGTGGGTATGCTTAGGCGTGACTCCTATGACCTGGATTGATTTGAAACCAAATTATTCTGGGAGCTCGCACTTTCCCAGCTGTCACTTTTAATGGTCGAGTCCCCGAAAAAAGTGCCACACGACTTTGCTGTACCACAGTGACTTTCCTTGATCACGAAGTGCGTTGAGTGGGTCAGGTTATGTAAAGCTAATTGCGAAGTGCTCTCCGGGGAATGGTGACCAGTGACCAGTACTCATTGAACCAAGTTCGGTTCCATCTTCGCGATTCACTTGCCGCGCCAGCTAGATTGTCCCACAAATCATTTGCCATTTGACATCTCGCTTGTGGACAACTAATGACAACAGCTGCGACACAGCAGCATTTTGGCCATATTGCGAATTTCTGATCGCTGTTAGCCAGAAGCCAATCAAACCTAACGAGCCGACAATCTGTCCGTTAATGTGACCATTTTGGGCAGGCTCAAGCAAACAGTCATCGTGGAGCGTCATAATGGAAACTAAACAGAGAAAAAGTTACATAGATCATTTTTGAATACCTGCATATTCAAAAAATAACATTATTATATCAGGCAATTGATGAAATACAAGAATGGATTGATATCAATCTATAAAAATTATATTATAAATTATTCTTCGGGGGTTGTTATACTTTTTCTTAATATTCTAAATCGGATCATTTAAATTTAAAGACATATATACCTATAATAGATATTTGATATATTTCCTGCACACATTAATAAAATTGCATTTTCATATCAGGTATATAATGAAATACAAGAAATAATACAATTTTTCTTTCCTTGCATAGGAATTTCTGTAGTCGTGTTGACCTATATCGAACTATTTTTTTCCTCTATATCCAATTTTTTTTTATTATTTTAAGCCAGATTATAAAAATTATCAGATAAATAATAACATAACATAGACATATTTCTTGAAATATAACCATTTTCTGCTTTGCACCTTCGATCTTTAAGCACTTGTACACGTGGGAAGAGTTCTCTTTACTTGTAATCGGATTTCAGAGTTCATTCACATGTTTTTGGGCTACATTTATGGGTTTTCAATCAGCTAAACATGACATTTATGTAATGAGCCAATTATTTTTGATGTAACTGGTTTTTCTTGCAGCTGGTTATTATTCCCAGCGGAAGATTTGCCAAATTGAATGCAATTAATTGAATTAACAAGGCACTCTATGCCACACTTCGTGGGGGATCGCTTGAAACCATAACTGTATGGTTCAACTAGTTTTAAGTTGATATATGAGCTAAGTCTTTGCCACCTCTTGCCATACTTATTAGCGATTTCCCTCAGGATATCGAACGATCTCGCCTGCGAAACATGCCCGGCACCTCGTATCCCACGAATAATGATAATTTCAGCAACGGATTTCCGATGGCCACCACACAAAGTGAGCGTCTGTTGCAGGCCCAGAATCGAAGAAAATTTAGTTTTCCTGCCACACTTCATTCCGCCTCCCTGTTGGAAGTGGGTGGTGGCCCCAAGGAGACCACTCGGCGGAGGTTGAGCAATGTCAGCGATGCGGTGACCAGAAAACTCTCTTATACCATTGGTTGGAAGGCGGCCCAGATTCCAGCGCAGGATATCATCACACAGGTGGGTTGGTAGTCTAATAAATATACCTAATAATGATTTAATAATGATAAAATTCACATATTTCCACTCAAGGGTCGTTGCCTATGTGGCCACTACATAAAACGACGTCTGAGAAGATCGGGATTGTTTAATAAAAAGTTGGGACTGCAGCGGATACGTAGCATTCTAGGTTCCACCTCCATGGGCATTGTGAGAGATGTTTTTCCAGCAGTTCAAGTGGTAAGATTTCTTAAAAATATATACTTTATGTATTAAAAGAATTTGTAACTTTACAAAATATCCTACCTTAGTTAGGTGACGAACTGGAGCGCATGCATCCGCGTGTCTACAACGGAGTAGCTCGTCAGATTTGTCGAAATCCTGGCGGTGAGTTCCATACTCCGGATGCTGTGAGCTTGCTTCTGGGAGCTGTGGGCCGCGAGCTTTTCCGGGTGGAGATTACCTGGAGCAAGGTGATCTCGTTGTTTGCCATTGCCGGTGGCCTTTCTGTAGATTGTGTGCGCCAAGGACATCCCGAGTACCTGCCCAAGTTAATGGAGAGTGTTTCGGAGGTGATTGAGGATGAGCTGGTTCCATGGATCAATGAGAATGGTGGATGGGTAGGACTTTTCAAACCTATTATCTTTGTGCAAACTTGCTAATTTATTTTTGCATTTCCAGAGCGGCATCAACACTCATGTTTTACCCACTACCAATAGCCTGAATCCATTGGAATGGACCACTTTGATTATAGGCGTAGTTTTTGGCTTAATTTTAGTTTTTATGGTTTTGCGGTTTATAATTAACATGATTATACCGAAAATATACCAACGATTTACGAACTGAACTCGAAGCACTCGTTTCAATTTATTATTTTACTAGCAAAAACCAATCGTTGATAGCCTATGTATTTTTAAAAGGTAAGCTTTTCAGTGCTTCAACAGCTTTTCAGACTTGTTTGTTTGATTAGAATAGCTTTAAGTAAAGGCTATTGAGAATAGAAGCCTTTAAAGGCAGGTAAAATTTGCCATAATAATTCTGGCTAAATCTACATTATTTACATTTCTGATTAAAATATGATCTTTAAGGGTGTAAATTTCACCTCAAACAGATGTACAATCCCTTTCAACTGATAAGACTACACAATCTTCACATAGATTAGGTCTTCGGCTTGTTTTATTACAAAATTTGAGAGGAAAATCTTCCGCGGACTTAGGTTAAAATTCAAATAAATGCAACAGTTATCAATTCAACGGTACATAATCGTATCTTTATGCTACAACACGTGACAATCTCGCCTTACAACTTTCCAGTTAGTTCTGGCACAGCCTTGAATAGATCAGCCACGATGCCAATATCGGCGACCTGGAAGATGGGAGCCTCGGGATCCTTGTTGATAGCCACAATCGTCTTGGAGTCCTTCATGCCAGCCAAGTGCTGGATAGCGCCGGAGATGCCCACGGCAATGTACAGCTCGGGGGCCACAATCTTTCCGGTCTGACCAATCTGCAGATCGTTGGGCACAAAGCCAGCATCCACAGCAGCACGAGAGGCACCCACAGCAGCGCCAAACTTATCAGCCAGATCGTACAGCAGCTTGAAGTTATCTCCGGACTTCAGGCCCCTTCCTCCGGAAACGATAACCTTGGCTCCGGCCAGCTCTGGGCGATCGGATTTGGTCAGCTCCTGGGACACGAATTCCGACAGGCTACTGGCATAATCTCCAGCTGGGGCCTGCTCGACAGCTCCACTTCCGCCACTGGTGGCTGCTGGCGGGAAGTTGGTACTCCTCACAGTGATCACCTTCACGGCATCCTTGGATTTAAGGGTGAGGATGGCATTTCCGGCGTAGATGGTGCGCACAAAGGTATCCTCCGACTTGACATCAATGATCTCCGAAATGGGCGACACATCCAATTTGGCAGCCACGCGGGGCAGCACGTTCTTGCCAAAAGCCGAAGCTCCGGCTAAGATGTGAGTGAACTTGAATTGGGACTGGGCGGCCAAGACCAAAGGAGTCAGCGATTCCGCGGTGAAACCCTTGAAGGCGGCGTTCTCGGCCACCAGAACTTTGGTCACTCCTTCCACTTTGGAAAGAGCCTCGGAAGCCTGGAACATGCGAGGGGTTATACTATTAAAGCATTTACTAATTAAATATTTTGTGAAATTAGGGGGGTTCAATATTATAATTTTCAAATATTAGTTATTCCTAAAAAATAAATCCTTATTAAATCTAGAAAATGTATTTGAAATTTGTTTTTATACTTCCATAACTGAAAATTTGCAAACCTGCCTATTCTCTACCAATGTGCTGAAAAATTGTATAAACTTTGCCCTCAGGTAATTTGTGGATTACTTTTTTGAGATTTCTGGACCAGTCTTTTGTTTTAATGCATACATATTAACTTAAAATCGGTTGATAATTCTCAGGCTGTTTATAAATGGGTCAATTGTCTTGTCTACTTTTATTTTAAAAGCCTGTTTTTTGAAGGACAAAATGATCATATTTCTAACAAAACAAACCATTTATATAACTTTTTGCCGGCATGTTTCCTTTTTGATCAGAGAAAACTTGGGATGGAGTCCAAAAACTTTTAGTACACAACCAGATATTAAACCTTTAGCTAAGATTGATAGCTGTTGGTATTGGAACCACCCTAATGTGAGACTTTTTGGGACTTACGGGTCCGCATTTTGTGCCTGCCACCAGAACTGTGACGTCACCACCGATCTTCTTGGCCGCAGATATAGTGTTCAAAGTAATTGGATTGAGAGCCTCGTTATTGTGCTCGGCCACCACCAAAGTGCTTTTGCATCGCTGCAGCTGCAAATTGAAAATATATCAATTGTTATTTAATTTTCAGCCATCAGCGCCTGCGCCTTTTTATCTTTTCTATTATTTTGCAACTTACGAGGCTGCTGCGCATCAGAGTCCGCGTATTGCTGGCAAACATTTTGGATACTATACAGAGCTGCCCACGGAATACACAAATATTGTTTGATTAATTAAAGTCTATTAATGTTTTACTTAAACTCTTACCCTACAAAATCACAGAAAAGTCCAAAGGTTTCCTGAAGATTCAAGCGTTTTCCGTTTTTTAGCACATTTTGGCACATACACAACAGCTGTTAGTTAACAGACGTTCGCTGTTATCACTTGATGCTTTTAACAGTATAAACTGAAGACAAAAGTGCGACTTAAATTATGTTGAATATTTGGTCATTAACGTGCTAAAATATTAAAGAGATTATAAATCCACACCCTTTACAATTTACAATTCACAAATCTTTATTAAGCTACCTTACATGGAATTATTTCCTAGTGTCACATGAAAGGGTTAAGGAAGGATTTGGTTCGGGGTTATCACAATCTGATAAGGTGCTTGCACCTATGCGTGATCAAGAAAAGGTGACTTAAGTTATGTTGAATATTTGGTTACTAAAGTGCTAAAATATTCAAAACATTATAAATCCACATCTATATTATTAAAACAAAAAGGCACAAATCTTTGTTAAGCTACCTTAAATGGAAATATTGGTCCGAGGTTATCGCATTCTGAAAATGCACCTATGCGTGATCAAGAGGTGTATAGCAGACGGTCTTTGAAATCACCATCCAGTTTCAAAATAAAAATCAACATGAAATTACTGGTGTGTGAATATTCCGTTGAATGCGCTGCAAACTCAAGTGATTTATATTTAGATCGTCCTGTTCGCCTTGATAGCAGTTGCTTATGCCCGCTATTATGACAGTTATGAATATGATTCTAGCAGCTATGAAAGTGATGAAAGCTACGAAGATACAGGAGGGATCTACACAAAATTCAAAAGCGGTGCGCTGCAAGCCGTTGCTACCCGTGGTAGCAAGAGTATATAATATACAAGAATAATAAAAGAACATACATACAAATTTTGTGTTTTCAAAAAATTGTTTTTGTACATATGTTTTGATCCTAATAAATATGTTATATTTGAACTTAAGTTGGATTTGGCTGGAGTTGGAACGATGGAAGATAACAAGTAAGGTTCAAGGCTATTGAGTTCTGATCCGGTTGCGCCCGCTTTGTGGAGACGGTAAGATGACAAGGCGTTATAATCTCTTTCAAGAGTTGGCTTTTGTCAATACTGTAATTATCAAATTACAGTATTTGGGACAGAATCAGCCATACTAAGTATACCTGAACTATAGGGGTGGGATACATATAGATTAACAAGGATGTTGTAAATTGAAGATATTTGAGTAAATCATTAAAAAGATGAATTGTAACTTGTTCCCTTACCATCCCCTTAAAAATAACAGTGAACAGTCACGGGCTGGGTAACAGTGTCATCTCTACAGCATATGTTACTTTTGCGAGATCTGGCAACTCTCCAAACAAGCATTTTTTATTACAACACATTTTCCGAAATTTTTAACGAAATTCCAAAATTTCTATTTGTAATTGAGGTAAAATCAGTTGGAAAACAGACTAAATAATGGCCAAAGCCATACCAGAACGGTGAGTATAGTTCCGAGATACAAGACAAGGGATATTTCAGGGAAACACCATTTTTTCTGGTTTATTTATGTTTTTTTTTTTTGTGAATTACAGATGGTTGAATTATAAACCTATTGGCGAGCGTGTTCCTGGTACTCGCTTTATAGCATTCAAGGTGCCGCTGCATCAGGTGAGTTCATAATATCCCCCACCCATCAGATCCGAGGTGGGAGATCCAAGAAACCGGTTGACAGGAGAGCCCATTGATGGATGTTGAAAACCCAGGACAGGACCACCGACTTTGCGAGGCCCTCTTAAAATATAAATAACAACGGACGACGACGAATTTTGTGCATTGTAATTATGCATAAAAGTGGCAACTGGAACATGGACCCCACATGAATATTAAATTAAATTGTTTTTGCTTAATTAAATAACGCCACGGATCCCTGGTCTTTATTAATTGCCTGCCCTCTGGGCACTTTGCATAAATTGAGCAATTTTCAGCCGCCCATTGTAATGCTCTGTATGTCCCTTGTGTATTTACTCTGCTCCCTTTTTTTTTTGTTGCAGCATGTCAACGCCAGAGTGGAGGAGCATCTTCGCCTGGCGCCCGAATCACTGCTGGAATCTGTACCCGATCTGGGCCTCATCATCGACCTGACCAACACGAACCGATACTACCATCCCAGTGCCATGATCGACAACGATGTGCGTCACCAGAAGCTGATGATACCCGGTAAACAGACGCCTTCACGAAAACTCGCCGAAAAGTAATTATAACTATACATTACTATAACTAACATATTTGCTGAAATATTTATAAGCGCGACAAATTGCTTTAGATTTGCTTTAAGGGCCTTTTTGATACTTCAAGTGATCAAAATACCTCTACCATTTCAGATTTTGTGATTTTGTGGCCGACTTCCTTAAGAGCAATGCGGATAATGGTGAGTGCTGACAAATCATCCCACACATCATGATCTTTGGGACACGCTGCCGTGAGAAACGCTTTCCCGCCAACAATGCAGATCCAGATGCATATCTGTCCACACAATTAGAGCCGCAAAATATGCAAACAAATCGTATCAAAGGGGGGCACCCGCAATTACCACGTATCCTAATACCTGGCTGCACTGCCTCCAGAGATTCCTATCAGCCGGCAAGCGCACAGCAAACATGGCTCAAAGCGGTGAAATGTGCTCGCGGCCAAGTGCCTGGCAAGAGAAATACTCTATTTAACCCTTTAACAGCCAACTGGCGCACAGATGTGGGTGCGGACACACTCAATCAGTCAGTTAGTCAGTCAGACAGTCAGTTTTTTGGCCTTTGAGGAGAGCCCGAGGTTGGGGCTGTCTGCCAGTCGGGAGCCGGGCAAACAAATCACTTACGGAGCACGGAGCTTAGTCATGCGCGAGTGGGGAAAAGGCATTTCCAATTATCCACAAAGGCATGCGAAACCATCCGCAGGCCGCTTTTCATTTATATTTTTCTAAAATTGAAAGACTGGAACATGAAGACAGTGAAAAAGATGTAAGAAGTCTAGTCAAGTTTAAAATTCTGTTGATATCAGAGGATTTTGTACAACATTAACTCATTTCATATTATTTTTTTTTAACTTAATTTTCAATTTGAAGCAAACCATTTATTAGATGCCTAGCATAACGATATTTCTATTGTTAAACGTAAGAAAATGGACATGTTTAGGGTATCCAAACTTCCATATGCTGCTCGATTTTATGATAAAGTGGGCGCGCAGGTACGCCTAATGTTTTGCATGCACTTTTATCTTGCGCTAATGTATGTGCGAACCGATTTGGATTACAATATGCAAAAATGCCAGCAAGAATGCCCTAGGAGATTCGGATGTCTTCTTAGGGCTTAATTAAAACACGATCTGGCGCCGCGGAAAGTCGCGTAGAGCAAGCAAACAATAAATAAATACACGAAGGCTGCCAACATATTTACAACGAAACAAATCAGGGAAATAAGTCAAATCCGAGGTGGTCGCAACTTGTCAACGGCCAATGAGGCAGCAGAGGCTCGAAAACAAGGCAAAGTCGTTGTCTCAGCACAGTGGGAACGTCAAAAGATTTAAAAATAGTTTTGATTGGCCTTGTGCTTAAATACAATATTCCGAACAAATTTCAAAAAACTCAAGCAAAAAACTTCAGTTCATTAATTAATTAAAACATTTTAAATTCTTAATTTAAATGTAATAAGACATTTATTTGGAGACCATACTTGAATTTATTTTTTATTTTACAATTATATAATTGTTCCTAAATATGTTAAACAAATCCCACTGTTCCTGGCATATTGACAAGGATGCGCCGCTCGTTCTCGTAATTTAATTTTGTTTTTCGATTTGCCTGTAAGTTGGCTTAAATGCAAGCCAAACATGACGTACTGACTGACTGGCAGCTTCGTACGCTGCCAACAACCAGGCCAAAGCCAAGCCAAAAGCCAAGCCGAAACCCAAAGCACCCGCATAGTGCACAAAGGCTGGCCACCGCGACCTGGTGGGTTGTCCCCATGCCCCTGCCCCTCTGGAAACCCCTCGCGAATCCCTCCTGCTGACATGTTTTTGTGAAATTTATAGCCAATGTTATTATTGGCAGAGCGCGCTGTTTTCTAGATTTAGCTCAGGTCGCTTCTGCTTTTATGCCAAATTGCCAGGCCGGTTTTTCTGTTGCGGTCTCGCTGCGTGGGTGTTACCAAATGGGCGTGGAGCGGGATTTGGAGGGTTCGGAGCTGGGGAGAGGGACATTCCTGTGGCCGTGTTTGCAATGAAATTTGTAGCAATTTGCAGCAACATGCGGCACTGCAAAGAGGCTATGGCACTGCTTCTAAACGGGAAAGAAATATCACCAAAATGGGTAGCAGCCTGCACTTTTTGCTATGCTAAGGAGGATTAAGTAACATAACGCTGGACAAATTAAAGTTATATGGTTCTATTTAATTTCACATTTAAAAAACACCACTATGCAAGTTTATCAATGTTTCATTTTATCAGGAAAAGGTTAAAATTTCTTTATTTATAATTCCAAATTCCTGTTTTTCTTACCATACAGACAAACTAATTGGAGTCCACTGCACGCATGGAGTAAATCGAACTGGTTACCTGATCTGCTACTTCATGATATCCGTTATGAAAAAGTCTCCCGAGGAGGCGATAAAGAGTGCGTAGGATTTTGGGGTTTATCTATATCCGACCATATAGCTTAATCATTCAAACCCTATATATGATCCGCAGACTTTGCTGCAGCCCGTGGACACGAAATCGAGCGACCGAATTACTTGAAGTCCTTGAATAAGCTTTCGGATCAAGAGGCGAATAAGAATCGTTCTCTTTCAAAAGAGTCAAGTAAAGAGGACAATCACAATGAGTATGGGTATAACAGCAGATACCACGCCAATAGGGAATATAAAGATTACCGTCAGCAAGATAGACACTACCAAAGAGGTGGAGGTTATTACCAAAAATCTAACTACAGTACGTATTATTCATTTCATTCAATCTAACTACAATACATATGCTTACAGTGGTACAAAACTAAGAATATCTTTCTTCCTTTCTTACATTTAATTCAATATTTTGAATTTTTTGTGTTTTATACACAATAACTTACCATAATTCACATTTAAAATAATTTCGCAGACATTTTAAGTTTTTTTTATGGAATATAAATTATTTTTATAAAATAGATTTAAAATGAAGAACTACAATACAAGTGCTCGTTATGCTTGAATTTCAGGAGACCAGAACTACGGAGCTCCTGACAGCAGTAACTGGCGAAGCGGAAATTCGAGAAATTATTCAGGAGACCAGAACTACGGAGCTTTTGACAACAGTAACTGGCGAAGCGGAAATTCGAGAAATTATTCAAACCATTCAAGAAACAACCAGTGGAACCATCAGGATCATCAGAGCTACTATAAAAACAGAAGAAATGACAGCACATATGGGCAAAAGGTCGGTTACTACAAGAATGACTGGCCTTATTCCCGCAACCATCGACAGGTTCGAGAGTATCACCAAGACCGTTATCAAAACAATAGATCAGCAGGTGGCTATCATCAACAGAACTCGAGAGGCTATAAACAGAATCATTATCAAAATTACCAACGAGTCGATTCGAGAAGACACAGCAGACGCAACTACGAGGATGAGGAGTAGCTTTAGAGTTTCAAGTAAACAATTTTATATTGTAGAAAATCCCTGAACTAGATTGTAATAAATTTCCAATGGCACCTTGAGCAATTTGTAAATTGTTGTTGATTACATGCCACACCAAGTACAACAATTAAAATTCATTTGCAACACGGCCAAGTTAAGACCACATTATGGTAGTTAACAAGCAATCGGCTCAGATCGTGTGAAGATACAATAAGAGTCGACAAAAATTTGCATCTCGATAAGCGAGGAGAGCGCGTGAAATTCCCGGAATTTCGTGATCATCATGGCAAGCGGTGCCGGAGGGCCAGCTCCTGTGTCAAAACAAATGTCAGGATGGCCCGGCAAAACGCTTAATATGCACAGTGGGTGTAATCAGTGGGCGATATTAAAAAGTTGTTAATAAGGTGAACATAATAACACTAATTTTTTGGGTTTTTAGAGAGGAATACTAAGAGCATTTTCTAATATTATTTTTTTTATGTTTAATAAATAGTACTCGCTCATTAAAATATTAAAAGCAATTGCTAGCTTGCAGTTTAACTGAAATCAATGTATAAATTTAATAGTTTCAGTTTATATTCTATTTTTTTTTAATTTACCCCATAGTAACTTTTTTTTTAAGTATCTGTCACGTTGACGGCTTCTGATCGTTTCATTATTTCGTCATGGTGGTCAAATGTCAACTTATTAGCATAAATGCTGCTGCTGTCGCCTCCGCCCATCGCCTCCTTTTCCTTTTTGAAACCCTCGGGTTCCGATATCGGCGCTTTATCTTTGTGCAATCTTATCGGTGCCGCACGATCAACGATTGTCATTATGGTCGAGGGTCTGGACCTCGGACAGCGACAAATCGTTGGCCATTACAATGGCCTGGGTGATGGTACTGGACGAGAAGGATCGGGATGTGGTTACGGAACCAAGGATCGAATCGATCGGTTGGGATCTGATCTGACTGCCCGATAAACGCCTGTTGTGTGGCATGTGGCGTAAAGTTGTTTGTTGCGCTTAATTGGACAGCGTTTCATTTCGCGGCTGTTCGGTTGTTGGGTTGGTTTGCTTCCTTTATTCACTCTTTATTTTTAGCCTCTGACTGACCCAAAGACACGGCCAAATGGCATCCAGCGAAAGTGCCATCAAACGCTTCAGGGGATGTCCAAAGATCTTTATTCGATTATAGGCAGGAGGCTTTTTCTTGGAAATACATATATATTGTTGATTGGGGATAAAAATCAGGATAATTAAGCTTTCAGGACGTGAAATTAAAATAACGAATTTCACTTTAATACGTATCTAAAATTTCACCACAACTTTAAGACGACAACTGTATAATCCCTAGAATAGGCGCACAAATCAAGATGACTTTAGCTGGTCATTGGTTTAAAATCGTGTTTTTATCAGGGCAAAAACAAACGGAAATGGTAGAATTATTATTTAAATTAACATAGTTTGAAGTCTGTTTAGAGTCCAAGTCTTTTAGCGAATTCTTCTTAAATTAATTATTGATTAATTACTCTAAAATTTTATTAATTTAAAAATTGAGTGCTATTAAATCAAAATATCAGGAAACTAAGCCCTTCTGAAAATAGTTTTGATGTTTGAACAAATCACCCCTGTTACTAAATTGTTTGAAATTTTATTTTGTTCTTTGTACGTTAGATACGTATTGTTTAACTTTTTCATCCTTGTTTTGTCAATGGTTTTTCTACTTTAGTTGGCTTCCAAAAACCAAGGACCAACATTTTAGAAAATAAAGTTCCCTTCTCACAAGTCCAGCTTTTAAAATCCCTGATTTTTATGTGGGTCTTTTGGTCATGCCGACGACATGGACGTACCTCCGCCCCCTTTGCTGCCATAAATTGCTGAATCAACCAAAAATTGCCAATTGTCAGTTGCGTGTGCGGTTTATTTTTGTTGCCTCCAACGAGCACACAAATTTTTTCATATTTTTTTCTTGTTCGTTTTGTTTAGTTTATGACCGCGAAAGGAAAGACGGCTGGAAAGTGTTGCCAATTTCCACCGACTGTGCCGGACTTGGGGCCATTTATCTTAGCATAACTTGGAGCGCGATAATTGCATTCCACGGACTTGGCCAAGATCGAGGAGCGAGGCCACTTTGAAGTTCGGCACGGACAATTAGGCATGGCCCATAAATTGCCATCGCATATGTGGCGATGCGGCGGAAAAAAAGGAAGCACGGCATTGATTTAAATAATAGTGTTTAACTTAGCAACCAACCCCCTGAAAATGGTAGAGGCATGAAACGCCAGCGATGCAGCGACAATTACCTGGCCATTTCAATTAGCCGGCTTACAAAGTAAAAAAAAAACAATAGATGGGGCCGAATCCATCGAGTCAATCAGATATCGATATCAATGCCGGACCAGTCCAAGCTCTCAATTGTTGTCGAGGCCTTTTGTCTGCTCCTCGCAGGTGATTTACGGTGTCGCCCTGTCTGGCTGATAAAAAAAGTTGACGGATCAGGAGCAGACACATTGAAATGGGCGTTCGGAAAAGTGTGGTAACCGGTGAAAGGAAGCGAACCTGTGCCACCGGGATTAAAGTGCATATAAGACTTGGCAAAAAACAGAAGACACAAGGAAAATAATCAAAAATTCCCTGTTTTAAATCAAGGTTTGCCCTTAAATGTGGCTTAAAAATTTTATTTATTTTATTCAAGTTATATGAATAGCATTAGTTTAACAACAGAGGAGGCATCTTGGTAGAACTCGCGGAAATTGCTAAGGTCTTAACTATTATAAGTTTAAAATTTATAAGAACTAAGTTTATATATTCTAAAAAAAAATGCTATAACATATTATTACTTGTACTTGGTGGTATAATTTGTTTAGGCTATTTAAAATTAATATGTATATATATGGATTTTTTTATTTTAACAAATTAAAGCCAGTATATAATATTCAAATTAATATTTATATTAAAAAGTGCGCTGGAAACTAATATAATATAATTAATTTATATATATTACTAAACTTCTATTTCATCTGTTTCTTTTTTAATATAGATTAAATAAATAAATCTAACATCGTGAGGTAATGCAGCACAAAGTAAATGATGGCAATACCGTGAATTTCCTTTACTTACCCTCAATCGAAAGGCGATTTCAGGGGACTCCTGCAACACTTGCCATTTATCGCCCTACGCAATCTTAATTAAAAGCCGCCCCCAGATTAAAACAAATGTTTACTTTAAAGCCGATACGGATCGAGCAATCACGAAATCGATTCAGTTCGATTCGATTCGATTCGAAGCGCGTTGAAAACACACGAATTGGGCAATTAAAGCGGCTGAAGGGCGAGACTTTATCGTTGATTTTTGCGATATGGATGCGAGGCACGCACATGACCCTCCCACTCATTAAGAGGAGTCCTACAAACCGGGACATAAACTGGTTGGCAACTCCATTGTCTGGAAACTGTGCCACACACAGCAAACAATGAAGCACAAATAAATTTTGTACCAATCTCCAAGTAACCTTCTTATATAGATTGTATTAAGCACTGACATAATTTCATAATTAGTAATCAAACACAAAATAAAATTTTAAAATTCAAATAAACTTTTTAGTTGAGCTATTATTATGTTTTAAATATATATACAATATTCATCTACATTTTTCTTTACATAAAATAAGTACTACTAATTAGGTTAATAGAAAAGTATATTAAAAACAAAAAAACACATTCATCATATAAAAAATGTCAAATTTGTTTAGTAATTTTGAAAAAGAGCCTACCAAAATCAAACTTATATTATGTTGTGGACCCTTTTCTTGCAGTGCTCAGATAGCCCATCATTTGGCTGAACTAAAAAGTGGTGTCCCAAATCAGCCGACTTATCTTCCGTTGAAACTCCCACTGAGTGCATTCCAGGCCATCCATATGTATTCTTGGCTATTGCAACTCCTTTATATTTTTTTTTATTTGGCCATGGCGCCGTGGCATAAACTTTATTGTCGCCACATTGCTGCTGCATACTTAATGGCGCCACAGCGACAAAACACACGAAAAATGTGCCATGTTAGTGTCAACGAACTTTAAAATGCCCTGCTCTGAAGAAAATCCACCCACTCAGGGGGGCGGCATTTTACACACTCTTCTCTCCGTCCAGAAAATTCCATTTTCGGCAAATATTTGTGCAAGTCAGCTCCATTTTGGGTCAAGTCACCCCTTACTTCTCGGCCTGATTCGTATTTTTCTGTTATCATTCGGACTGCATACAATGGGCTGGGCAAATTGCTTAGAGACTTGGCTGGCAAATGTTTTGGAAATATCTCAAGTGCTATTTATTTTGAAGGGTTCCAGGCCAGGGTGGTTTCCATTTGGTGGTTTTATGGGGTGCCTGTGGGTGGATTTTTGGATACTGCCCGAAGCTGCGAGGCAAATTGCACAGATAAGCATTGTCATAAAAATTTGATCTTATAGCTCACCTGGCTTTCGTGGGTTAGATGATTTTTTCTACTGAAAATATCTATTTGGGAGTAGACTTCTTATATATATAGCCAGAATATTCACTCCTAGAGAAACCAACTATGTTTGTTTTAAATGCAGATTTTGGTGTTCTTTATTTTCCATCAAGTGTACCAATGTTACTGTAACTGTATAAAACCAAGAAAAATAAAAGAAAAATCACAAGATCTCAAAACAACATATAAAATAGCAAAAAGTTGGCATAAAAATAGTTTTATTAGCATTTCGTATTCCTATTGCTATTCCTCAAATCCATGGAACCAGGCCTTACTAAGATGATATTTGAGGAACCACTTTCTGCTCAGGGCTAACAAAAATTAAAAGTCGATGGGTATCCGCCGAAACTTTGGATGCCTTAAGAATGAATGGGTCAATCAATATTTAAGAAGCAGTTAAAAGTTAGTATAGTGTTCGTATTAATACAACTTAAATAATCCCTAAAAAATTATTGTGCAAAATACCTGTTATACCTTTATAATATCAATTTGAGCATTATAGAACATGAAAGATTATTAGGTTAAGGACAATTTTTGATCTGAGTTTTATTTTCTTTAAGAATCACTTTTGCTAACCTTTTAAATATTCAGAGCAAGCCTACAAGGACTGGTAAATTAATTTTAGGAACAGCTTTACAACATCAAGAATGTGAGAAAATACGTAAAGCAGACATCACAACTTCAATCCGTCACTCAATCAACATCAACATAACCAGCCTCCTGGTCAACCGGTACTCGTCCCCATCTTCATCTTGCATCCCAGGAATCCCCTCATGCGCCAGGCCGTCATCTCGATGACAAAACTCAAAAGGGCCAGGATGTAGCCGAGGGCCAGAGCAATTGCCGGCATGACGAAATAATCCACATTCAGCGGCTGGGCCTCCATATGCTCCGTGATGAGAAAGTTTAGATAGCCCACGCGAACCGCCTCGTAGTCGGCATCCAAGGCCAGTTTCCTCGTAAGACCGCTCTCGAAGGCCCAGTACCAGGCGTGGCTCAAATGGTGCTTCAGAAACCATCTCTTCCGCATCGGGATGCCAGTGTAAAGGAACGAAAAATCGATAGGAATCCTCAAGAGTTTCGGGTGCTTCAGGAATTGCTGTGCATAGTCGTATAAGGCCATTCGATCCGAGAATAGTATATAGGCATAATCCTGATCGAAGCGATTTCTATGCTCCAAGAGAGTATGAAAACTGACCGGTTCCATTATGAGAGAAAGTATCTTGGGCATGTTGTATTTGGCGAATAAAATCTGATCGTACGGGTCCACCATTAGGGTTATATTACTTTCTACCAATGCCTCAAAGGTATCGATTTGCTTTTCGAAAACCTCCGAGATCAACATACTTTTGAGCAATCCCAGATACATGGTGGAGTAGACAAATCCGGCTATGAACAAAACTCCAAAGAGAATGTATCTCTCTTTTCCGTGAAGCTCTTTTAAGTAAAATCCACTGAATAAAAGTGAGCTGAATACCTCGAGAAGATGTTTACTTAAGTCCCATTTTCCACTTCTTAGCCAGTGTATTAAACTCAGAAAGTTTACCACTAGCATTACGTAAGCAGCCAAACATAGCCACACACTCAATTGAAATGGAGCCGTAAGATATCGATAGGAGTGTAGGGGTTTTGCATGGGTCACGAAAATATTCGCCGAGGCTATCCTAAATCCATGGGTTAAACTGAAAGCCGCTGGATTTGCTGCCAGGGCATCGGCACAAACATCCACCGATTCATTGCGCAAATGTAATGTACAATTTCCAGGAGAATTACTCGGCGTGAGAACTGGCACGAAGCTGCCATTCCTTGAGGCAATAAAAGCCCGTATAAACTTCATGTAGAACCCAGCAAATACCCTCTCACCCAAGCGATTCTCGTAGAGCATAGAGCGCGGAACGTTATTGTAGGCTGCAACTCGAACCGGATAACCATATATGTTTCTAAACGATCCCCTAATGGATATATAATGCTTTATGGAAGTCTCCTCTATCAGCAGCTCGGGAAATATGATTTTGTGATATAGTTTTTCATCATAAGAGGTATAGAATAGCAAATTCGCGTAACCTTGCTGCCACAGGTGCCTTACAAAATTCAACCACTTGGTTTCCCTCTTCAGATATACGGAGCCATCTATGATCAAAATATATTCAGCCATTTGAAAATGCAAGTCCAAAGCGTGAAAGAAATCATAGGGTGGTTCTTCATTGCCCAATATCATAAAGAGTTTGTTATCAGCTCCTAAATTATACTCAAGTTGGGTGACGTTAAAGGATTTAATTGAGCTAAAGATCATCAGGTTTATGGGTGGCATATGTCGGAGATACTTGATCTCGTATTCATGTAGTATATCTGTTCGGTTGCAGTACAAAAAGTTTGTAGAGATGAGAAGACGTTTGTTAAGTTCGTTTACAATACTATTGAGGCCTTGAGTCCTTATAAAAGAGATAGCAATTACTAGTAGAAGTATCAAAAGTTTTGAAGATTGTTGAAGTATCATCTGAAAGATAAATAAAGGGGATAAATACTTGAAATTTTGATCTAAGGTAGACAGAATGGTTTGGCAGACAGATATGTAGAATGGGGAGATGTAGATGAAGATCTGAATAAATTAAGTGATAAGTTATGGATAGACTTAAAATAAAATGGTCATCAGTATAGAATTAGTTGTGATCCTAAAACTGCAAACATTCATAAAACATTTTTGTATACGGTTGCTAAATTATTTTGAGATTTCAAAGAGTAAAGTACCGATAAAAATATCAAAGTATGAAGTTACTGAAGTATTTTTTTAAATTTATCACCTCTTAAGTAGTATTATGTATTCATCAAAACAATTTACACCTCCAAAGTTACGATTACATCTGCTCAAATTCCATTTTTCGGCAGTCACGATTACTTCCGCCTTTGTACAGTTCTTTTCGCAGTCTCGAACTCAATTAGCACCGACGATTGATATGAATATACATGGATGTACTTTGTCTAATCGATTGCCCAACCTTATTGCTTATAAATATTCCATTCCACCTGATTGAGTCTGGGGCAATTAACACTCCAACACGATCCCACCCACGCATCCTCGGCGGCAATTGGGCCACTTTACTGGTACATTATGATTTACTGATATTTACGAGTATATTTAGCTTATCCATTCTCATGCGCGTGCAAAATCGGTACTGATCGTGTCAATATTTTCGCGCAGAGACAAAGGAGCAGTCATGGGAAGCGGCTGCCATCACGAAACCGGCAAGTGAATGGAAAATCACAAAGTCTGCATCGCCATTTTCTCTCTATCTAAATATAGCAGATCCATTCTGGCGCCCATCCAATCAGAGATCAGTGGGGAAATCCCCCTCTACTATATGCTTGCGCTCTTCTGATTTGTGGCGCCTGATTAACGGTTGTCAGACATTGTAATGGCTAACTACTGTATCTTTTGGGATCCGCATGACCGATGTGGTTAAAGCCTGTGAGTAGGGTTGGCCAACTGACGCGCTGAGATGCGTGCTGAATGACCATGCCCATGCCCATGCCCCACGGACATCTGGTGGGAATTGAATTTGAATAAGCCGGCTCTTGGGCCCGTTCAGTGGGTCAATGTTCGGGTGGTCTTCGCGAAAGTGGTAATTAGCGAGGGCTAATTATAACGGTACGAGGTGAAGGATCTCTGAGAATAACAAGCTGTCGGCCAGTTTATTTTGGCGTTGATTTCTGACGTTCTGGTTCCGTTTAAATACACGTCATTATAAAATACCTCTAATGAAAAAGAGCAGTGTTTAAAAAACGTATCAAGGTTGTTTATACCTATTTTTAAGCCACTCACACTCACTTAGTGTCTTAAAAAAATAACAAGGCGGTTTAAAAAATGTGGTGTTTAGTATTTTCTTTTGATATTTTATTATAGTGACATTCTTTATTGAACTCTTTTATTGAACTTTTCTAATCATCTATTCTTGAATAATAATACCTCTTTAATCATCATACTTGTTAATAATCATACTTATGTTGTGCATCATTCAAATCAATTACTATTGTGTTTTTAATCCGAAGTTGTTTTTTTCTCTATTAATTCTTCGAATATAAATATACGTATATTTATAAGTTTTCAATTTGGTTTTCCATTCTCCTCCCATTAAAGTTCTTATATATAACTTCTCTGCGTTTTCCCACATCTCGCCTCGGGCTTTCTCAGATGACTCATACGCACAGTAGTCCACCGACCCATTCCACTGGCAATAAAGAGCAAATAATTAATAAGATAAGAAAAAAGCACGAGCGCAAATCCAGCCCGGGGCTGAAGGTCAAACTAATAATGATTTAGATAATCAAAGAGTGGCAGAAACCAAGGAGCTGAGGCCCAGGGCACCGCAGCACCAGACCAACTGCAATGCGAAGCACTTGAACCTGTTGCTACCACCGAAGGACCCCAAAGGCATCTGATTCTGCTGATGAAAACCAAACAAAACGATCGGGGAGCGCCGTCGCGGATGCTTCACTGTGCTCCAGTGCAGACTGTAGAGACGGCAGAGTCTGGTAGAGTCGGCTCATCCAGCCGACCAGACCATAAATACCAAAGGGTTACGCCTATTTTTACACGCAGCCGAGTGCATTTCCTCGTACTTGGGCCATGAGCGCACAAATATTAAAACGATGCGACGTGACAGATTACAAAACGTTTGACACCAGCGCCAAAGCCGCCAAGATGATGCCCCCAAAAAAAAAGAGCGAGAAGAAGAAGAAAGGGGGCCCAGAAGAGGGAGCTACAGAAGAAGCTCGGGCAGATGAAGCTCGAGCGGAGGCCAAAACTGCAACTGCAGTCAAGCAGCAGCCACTTGCCACACGACGATGACGAAGACGAGCATGCTGATGCACAGTGGGCAAAAATTACACAGAAATTGGATGAAAGTTGTTAAGAAACTGTAAAAATACTAACTTTGGCAAGTTAAAGTTTTTTTAACATATTATAAATACATAATACTTAATATTAAACAACGAAATATAGGTTAACAAACTATCTACATAAAAATGTTGTATATTTCTTCCTGTTATTCGCTAAGGAAGCTAAAGGAATAATTTTTGTCCTGATCAGGGTATACATTAAAAAGAGCTTTTAAAGTGCTCAAATATCCAATTGTCAAGTTCGATCAAATGGTTCCTTTCGGAGGTTTAGGAACATCGACAACAAATGAAACAGAAAAACAAGGAAGAACGCTATAGTCGAGTACCTCGACTATCAGATACCCGTTACTCAAAGGGAAATGGAGATATGCAAGCAGCAAAGCGAAATTAAAATGCGCCACCTACCGGCGGTAGACAGATTTAAGCGTTATGGGCGTTAGAGTGGGCGTGGCAGAATTATTTTTGGATCAATCGATAGGTATTGACGACACCAATACATTTCAGTTAAAATTTTTTATCTAGCATGCAAATTGTGGGCGTCACAGGTTTTCGCGGTTTGTGGGCGTTTAAGTGGGCGTGGCTAACTTTTTTTTAGGTCAATCGATAGGTTTTGATGAGAACAATACATTTCAGTTAAAATTCTATCTAGCATCAAAACTGTAGGAGTTACAGTTTTGAGCGGTTTGTGGGCGTTAGAGTGGGCGTGGCAGTCTACTGAAACAAACTTGCGCTGCGTAAGAAGCTCAGGAATCTGTACGCCAAATCTCAATAGCCTAGCTCTCATAGTTTCCGAGATCTCAGCGTTCATCCGGACGGACAGACAGACGGACAGACGGACAGACGGACAGACGGACAGACGGTCAGACGGACAGACGGACAGACGGACAGACGGACATGGCTAGATCGACTCGGCTAGTGATCCTGATCAAGAATATATATACTTCATGGGGTCGGAAACGCTTCCTTCTGCCTGTTACATACTTTCCGACGAATCTAGTATACCCTTTTACTCTACGAGTAACGGGTATAATAAAATTAAATTAAGTAGTTTAATAAATTCCTGCAGGAGAATTACTCTTTTTAAATTAAAATAACAAAAACTTTGCAGCTTAAGAGCTTTACTTACAACCGAAAAGCTAGATAGTTACTCCTAGAGTGAAAGGATTTATTAACTTTTTGGCATTCTTCTAAGCGAATATTAATATTTTTATGATGTTTATATTTTCATAGAAGTAATTTTACAAAGTTCTACATTGCTTAGGCTTTTAAATTTGTTCTCTACATATTAATATTATTTTAATGGAATAACAGTGTGACCATCTGCTTTTTTTTATGGCTAAGAGTGGCTGTAGTTTTATAAAAAGCATTTTAGTATGTGTGAGGTTACTTTTTGTTGTTTCTTTATAGAACGTCATAGTGAACCAAGTCCAATGAACACCAAAACCACTGTGCATTGTTGCAGTCACGAGTTTGGCTACCACAGCGTGCACCACCAAGCGAAAAGAGTAAATTGCCTCCAGGCCATGGCTCCTCGACTGCAACTGGGAACCTGGAACTGGACTGGGATGGCTAAAGATGAAGATGAAGATGGGTATGGGGTAAGGGTCTATGGGTATTTTGGACAAGAAGGGAATATCGGAGGAGCTCCGTGGAGAGCGCGCGTCACAAATTAATTCGCTGATGGCGAGCCTGTGTTGGGCTGTGCTGGTCTTGTTCAGTTCTGGCCAGATCGGCATGATTCCCACAGTAGTCCCTTTTATTTGTGGAGTGCTCTTGAGGATCTGCTCCTGCTTGTCTAGTTCACCTGCAACGGAGCAGCGGTTAAATGCGGAGGCCGTATCTGTGTTTGTTTGCATCAGTATCTGCGTCTGCTGCTGCGTCTGCCACTCGAGAGTTATGTCAGTCAGTCAGACAGAACAGAACGGACTGGACCAAAACCAGACCAGAGGTCCTCTCTTCCACTTGAGCTCGCAATTTTTCTAATTCACATCCCAGGAATCCCAGAGCCGAGCATCCAGAATCCAGAATCCAGAATCGAGTATCCAAGATCCGAGAGTTTCGCAGCGGGCGCATCGCGTAATTGACTTGGAAGTTATGAACCTTTAAATGTGGGATCCCAGGATCCTCAGTCGAAACCATGGTCATGTAATTTTAATTTTCTCACTTGATTGCCCCGCAAAGACGGCCAGCCGATTGCCATTCATATGGCCATTGGCTCCTGAACTTGGTTAACTTGGCTAACTGGATGGCCAGATGCTATATGCAGTCGCACTTCAAGCTGAGTTGATTAGTTTGCCAGGTGGGGGCGGTTTTCGATGCTGAAAGATCATCGTTATCATGGGAAAATAAAGGCGAAAGGAGTAACCATTCCGTCTTGGAAATTTAAATGATTAAAGTCAAAAAATTTTAAAAATTGTTTGATTTAAGAACTTAAAAAAAAATTCTTTCTAAAGGTCATTTATGACCTTTATTAAGACAGAAAGAGAAAAAATAAGTCATTTATTTGTCATATTTTATGTATTTTTATTTTATTAGCATACTTTATTCAGAGTTTAAAGTCCATCCGAAATTATATAGAATGTGCCAAATCAATTAAACGAATTCTGCGAATCCGGAACTAGTTCTCTATAATTGGTTGGGGTTTTTTATCAGATCCGGATAGATCTTAACTTTCGTAAAACTTCGCACCTAATCTTTCTTTTCTCTTCACATTCTTATAAAAAAAAATGCAAAAACCTCGTTAGATTTGGTTATAGTCACTAAGACTTTGCACACCTGTTCTCTATATTTGCTTTTGGTGCTAATTACCTTTAATGCCAAAAAGTTTGGAGCGAAGTTCCCATGTCAGTAATCAGAGTTCACTAATTAGAAGAGGAATGCATGCCAGACTTTTTTTTGCGGGGACAAATACAAATTTGAGTTAAATATCAGATGGATTCACAGCGTGACATTCGTCAGCTCGAGATTTATGCGGATTTCGAACTTTGGGCTTTCGGTTAGTGGGGTATTTATAAGCGCGAAGAGATTTTATAATCCGGTGTCGTTGGCTGTGGCACTTCGCACTTGTGCGAAAATTTTTAATGCAAAGCCCCGAATATTTCATTCAGCGTTTTCAGGCATTTTTGGGCATCTTGGCCCACAGCAGCTGCCAGTGCTTTTGGAGCTATTGGCTCAATGAATTATGAGCCCGCTTCTTATGAGCATGCAAACAGCATCGAAGTTGTGGGTGTCATGCGTCGTCCGGTTAATGAAAATGTTTGGCTTTAACTCGGGTTTTTTGTTATTTTCGGTCTACTCGGAATGTGTGTATTTTCACCCGCCTCTGTTTTTTGTTTGTAGGTGGGAAACGTCGATTTATTGCGCATCAAATTACAAGGGGCGATCAAAATATTTGCCCGTGGCTTCTCAGCATTGCCATCCACATGTTCATCACGGTCTGGTGGCATCTTTGCCTTAATGGCCTTGTAATGAAGCGACTAGTAAGCTAATGGCCATTGTTGGAGGTGTATATTACCACATATTTAGATGCAAACTAGGAAGTGTCTCGTTTTTGGACAGGTGGAGATATCTTCGAGCTTTGTTTGGAAATAACTTTCTTATATCTTGTGGAAAGCGTAAATAGATGGAAACCAATAGTGAACTGTATAACTAAGAATTTTTTACATTTATTTTTTATTAAATGTGTCATATATAGGCAATACTATTTTTAATATAACTAATTTCCTTTATTTAATTTTACTAATTAAATATTTGGATAACAATCTAATCCAATATTTACTTATTTTGTTATATAAGGCTTTAAAATTTTAATTTGCACTTGTTTAATATTTGTAATTTGTTCAGTCAGCTTTATTGCTTAGCCTGAAAGCTGTTAATTAGTAAGTTTATAACCTCTTTGGTGAGGTCTATAATTTTTTACGTTAATACTTTCACATTTTGACACTGTTTGTAATATTGTGATTTTAGGCAATACCAAACATTTAATATCCCAATTTTAAACTGACCTACTTTAGCCAAATCTTCTTTAATAAGTTTCTAATAAAATAATTTTACCTGGTCATTTCGATGGAGGAGAATCCCTTTGTTAGTGCGAAAACCGCTCGCCAATTAGCAAGGCATTTAGAAACACATTAACCTCTTCGCCTTGGCCTTAACCTTTCGCCAAAAGAGCGTTAATTCGCAGCGAAAATATTAAAAACGCAAATCTCGATTTGATGATGCTGATTCACAGAAGTCGTAAAATGTCATAAATATAACGTATATAGACTGGCGCCAAGCCGCCAGCTCCAAATTAAAACGGCTATGTGATTTTACCAATTTTGGGGCACACGCGTCTGCTCTCACTTATTTTTTGGTTTGCGTAATCCCGGAATTTATTTTAATACTTCTGGGAAATGACAAACATGAGCACATTTATTTGATCAATTTTTTATAATTCAAATTTGGTCACTTTAAGCTATTTTTGTCTTGTGATTTTTACGCAGATATCCGTTAATTGACATTTATAAATTTGTATATTTATGTAAATCTCTTCAAGTCACAAAACATCATTGTTTTCACATTGGGAGTTCTCACTTCAAAGCTGGAGGGATTGTTAATTATTTGCTCAAATACACGTGTTTCAGGTGCGGAACTCAGGCTCTGACAAATTTCGAAATTTGTCAGCCTGTTTGATTAGAAATTTTTGGGAAAGTGAAATGAACCATCCCTTGCAAATTCAAAATTTTACATATTATAGGGGTAACTCGTTTGTTATCTCAAGGGATCAACAATTGTCTGAGGTCTTCACTGTGTACACTTCATTTGTTTACATTTGCCAAGCTGCTATGATCGGAATTAAGGATCTAGGAACTACCACAGATCTTGGGGTTCCATTCAACCCCCTTGACAGGATCGATCAGAAGTCAGCCACGCGTTAATGTTAACAGAATTTCCGATCACTTTCACTTTAAATGTAAACTCAATGAGGCCCAACGCATAAATTAAGGGAAAATGATCACTGGGGTGAGTGAAAAGTTAGGGAAAAGGGGGTTGTCTACATTTTCATTAACGAAACTCTTGTTAGTGACCAATTCGATGCGACAGTTGGCCAGTTCCGAAGAAGACGAAATACGGGTGCCCCTTTTTCGGTAATTAAAAACGGGTTCCCATACCAACAAAACCGAAAACAAATGTATTGCACATTTTGGGGTTTAATTGAATTTGCTGCACACGAAAGCAAACAAAACTGGAGACAATAAAGGAGATATTTCATACGATATGAGAAGCGGTAAATTGGGGGACCCTCGGGGCCTCGAAAGAGAGTTCCGTCGATTGATCATGTGTTATCCTGCGGAGCTGCACTGTCCAGCAACCTTAACCCATCAGCAACACCATCGGCGTTGAAAGGTTAACTCTGCACCACTTCACGTCCAGAGACAATCGCTTACAGTTCCCTGGAACGCGGAGATTGCTACGCTTTTAATACCCTATAATTTATGGGGACTATTACGTTTTTAATTTGTTGGAAAATTTAACAGATCTTAAGAAATATTAGATATAAATGCCAATAAAAGTTGAAAAATCTTTGGCCAAAGAGCATCCAATAATGTCATACATTAATTCCACATATTTCGCATTTGAAAAAAACTATTTGAAGTATGGAAATAGGTTTATAAAATTAATTTAAAGAAATATATTTATAACCAAAACATAATATTTAAGAGGTGTAAATAGGTACTAGGTATTAAAAAATTTCTTTAAAAATATTATGTTTAAGTATACCTGTTATTGTCTTAGAAAAATATTTAAAAAAAAAATTAGGGTTTATATTGCCTTGAACAATAAACGCTTAACTTTATTTTACTGTCTTGTAATCAATACTTGCTCAAAACAAGAACGTCTAACATTTAAAAATTATTATGTTATAATTTATTAGCTATAAAAGCCAATAAAAGTTGAAAAATATTTGGCCAAAGAGCATCCAATAATGTCATACATCAATTCCACATATTTCGCATTTGCCTCCTTTTGTGCTTTACTTATATATTTTTTGCAGATCGTTTTTTTTACCAACGCCCACCGTTGGCTTTATTTTACCTTTGGGCCGCTCTTGTTGTTGGTTTTTTCGCGTTTATCAGTTGAGATCAGGCGGCGGTGGTTCGGCTTTAGGTTTAAGTTTATCCTGTCTGCCTGTGGTTTTGGTAGTTTCGTTTCTTCTCTTTTTTGGGGCAGTGAATTTTAATTAAAATATTTCTCAGGGTTTTTATTTTCTCTCAGCTTGGAGGGGCTAAACTCCCGCCTGGGCAAACTAAAAAAAAAAGCGGAATTGTCTCTTGGTCGTGAGTGTGACACATTTGCATCAGATATGACAAGCTCGTCTCGGAAGGACACCCACAGACTCATAAATCAGAGTAGCGCGTTTTGCTTGGAAAAACAAGTTGAGAGAAAAAAACAACCCAAAATTGACTTGTCAGGACACCTGACATCCTCATAAATATTTGAATTCGTTTTCTTTGTTTTCCGCAGTCGTGAAGATTTCACACATTTTTCTCGTTTTGCCATTTTTTCACTTTGACGCGACATGGCGCCACTGCCTTTTATGCCCCGCTGTGTTGGCCAAAAAAAATAAAACAAGGACCGCATTGGCACTAGAAGGGAAGAATCCTATCTATGATTATGCAGTTATGGCTACGTGGAATTCTCTGTGCGGTTGGATATATTTTTATTCCATAATCACAATCTGGGTGGGACGACTTAAGTACCTTGACCAGCCGAAGAGGTGACCTGTAAAAAGAACACATGTTATATTTTTAATTAGTTCAAGAACTTTTTCGCACGCTTATTGCTTATCAATTGGTTTTTTTTTTGGGTTCCCTAACCACTTGAGACTGACGACTGGAATTTCTCATCAAACAAGTTGATTTAATGAATTTATCATTGTCGTTATCAGTTGCTAATTTTCTTTTTTAGTGTTATTTTCATTGTTTTGCAAATCACCAAACTGTCTCATAAATCTTCATTAAAATGTTGCTCCATTTTTTTTTATTTGGAATCGGGTCAAGTGGATAGTGCATTGTGGTCTTATGCTCAAATTAATAATTGCTTATTTTTGCATAAAGTAGGGAGGGTTGAAATTTATATAATTGTAAAGAAATCCAAGAAGGTAGGTAAGTATTTCATACTTTCCACTTAATAAGTTGAAATTGTATTTTTCAATGTTAATTTTTAATGTTCTAAATTTGTATAAAAATTTATAATTTAATATATTGTTGTTTTTAAAACTCTAGAAATAATTTTTTAATTTTTGTACTGAAATTTGTATTTTGAATCAAACCTTATAACAATGTTGCACAGCATGTTTGATATCATACCAAAATGTTAATAACATCTGGCTTAAAAACGCACTGCTTGGCTTTGTAATATGTCGCACTGCTTGCCAAGTAACAGAGCTATGTTATTCCCAAAAATATTCAACGACTTTATCGGATGTAAAAGCGTGGCTAATTCCCTTTATCAATTTCATCAGATTTATGGGGCGCCATAAGTCTAAAATAATACGTGATAAACAAACAGTGCGTCCTATCGATTATTCTGCCATTTCATCATTGCTCTCATATATCATCGGAATTCTAGAGCATTCAAATTTCGCCCCCAACTGTGCGTCATAAGGCATATGCATAACTTGGAAAACATTAGCAAAGTAGATGACACCATTGAATATTCGTGATCACTTTGGCATTTTTGATAACCGGGAGCAATGCTACTGAATTTTTCGGAGCAGTCTACCTTCATTCATGGCTAGATGTTTTCTCAAGAGTCTAGTGCTCTAATTGAACCTATCACAAAAACTTGTGCAGTTATCTAGGTAACGAGTTAATTGGAAATTGAAACATGAGCAAAGTCCACATGGGCTGTTGTTCTCGATTTCGGGGGAAGTTCCCCTTTGATATGATCGGGGGTCTCATGGGTTATTCTGCGACAGATCATTGGGATGCTGACGTATTTATAACTAAACATTTCTGAAAACTAATAAAATGGATTATAATGTCTAGTTTGATACAATAGTCCGCATCACAATGAATCACCTCTAAATTTTTTTCATCAACAAATATTTCTAATTGTTGTTCATGTTTTATTCATTTGACGAAAGAAAATGTATTAGCCAAAGGATTAAAAATAATGTCTCTTTACTTACATCTTTTTAATTTCTCCTTTTATTGACCGAAATAAATATTGCTTAATTTAATCGTTGTACGATTTGTGCTTTGTTTTTGGGTCGTTGGCAACACACACAATTTGATTTACAGCATGATCAATAAAACTGCCTGATACAACTGGCTGGCTAATCGATCAATATCAAAATGCAGGGGCAACTTTGCTAATGGCTCGCCAACTGGACCTTGCCCAATATCGTCTGGCATTTTCCCTGGCATTTTTTCGGAATTCGGAATTGGGTGGGTGACTGGTTAATTTTTTTTGTAAAGTGGAGCAGGTGGACGCCACCTAGAGATCATTACTGGCCGGCAAACCTAGTTCTTCTAAATGGAGCAAACATTTCAAGGAATGACAAACGCGAACTTGTCGGTCTCCTTATTTATGATCACTGCAGCTCGGTGGGTGTTTAAAATGGATTGTAAACTGCAAAAAACAAAGCTTACGAAAGTAATTCTACACTTATAGAACACTTTAAATGAAAACCTAATACTGAAAATAAAATGGAACCAGACCTAGAATCGTTTAGAATTTCCAAATTATTGCAAAATTCCATTAGGTCATTCAAGGTATTAAAACAAACTAACATAAAATGTTCTTTACATTAACTTTAATAATAAAGAAACTAAATAATAAATATTATTAGGGTGAGAAGTCAAAAGAAATTTGGTATTTAAAAAGTAAACAAATAGCAATTACATTATAAGTAGTTCCTGGATCAACAATTGCAACAGTTAAGTATGTAAATATTAAATGAAATTTTTTGTGGAAGCATATATGTGTGTTTTAATATTTACAATTTTTATTATTTTAAGGAACAGCTTGGAACACGTAATGGTTTTTTTTTATAAAATTTGTCTATTTGCCTAAACTATTTTGTGATTTATTTTTTTGTAGGAAATTTTTGTAGTATATTTTGATGAAATTGATTAAAAATAGTCTTAAATTTAAAATTTTTAGCAAAAGACAAAATTAAAAAAGTTGTGCAATGCTAAATGGTTTAGCATTAGACTGAAATAATAAAAATCACTAACTATGGAAATATGCTTTTACATATATTGTAATATAGGTTTATGTGTTATTATATTATAGCCCTCGTAAAACAATTAAAATAGTATTTTCTAGTTTTTGAACCCAAAAATCTGCCCACTTAGGATATTTTAGCAAGGAATTCCGGTTGAATTTCGGAAAGCCTTTCGAGATCTCGACGTTCGAGAACATACTTCAGTGTTTTCTTCTACCAGTTACACACTTTCTACTTTAAAGAAATATAGATTATGAATTTTGGAAATATTTTGGAATGCCGTATACTTTTTTTGTCACTCAATTTTAATAATATTGACTATAAATAATTATTTATTATTATTATCAATTATGTTCGAGTCCAACACGTTCGACGCAACTTGTTCGAACTGGTTCGAGCGAAACAGCGAACGAATGTATCTGAAAGATACGTTTAGTATTTCAGTTCAGTTTCTTTTCACCTTTCGTCGGTTAAAGATCGCTGCCAGCGCAACCAACGGATAACCAAAGCCAATACCCAGCAACAAATGCCTTGGAAAATATTTTTGAAAAATTCCAAGTCACATTCCAAACCAACTAATTCAAGCGAGCCTGATTAATTCGTTTCGATTAATTAGTCAAAGGTGAAAAGTGCATTGCGCGGCTACAGATACTGATTTTGTTTTAAAAATCGCACACCGAAAACCAGTTGAAAAAAATAAACACAGATGAAATATATTTTCGAGTGCCCCAGTGCCAGTGCAAAACAAAGTTTCCGCAAAATAAATCAAATTTTGTGCAACTCGAAAATACACAAAAGATATATTCGAATAAATAAATAAACAAAATATCGTGTCATTGTTGCGTCGCTGTTGACAGAAGTGCAATACAAGTATATAACCCAATAATAATATATATTTATTACTATCAATTACATATTGTTAATCAAAAGTAATAAAATACGCAAATCAAGGCGAAATATTGCATGCAGATAACAAAAAGTGCGGTTGACAAAATACAAATTGCAAGAATAACAAAAAAAAAACAAAACTGAAAAACACGCCCGGATTTGATTGCATTTTTTTGCGGTGTAGTTGTAATTTTTGTTGACGCCGCAATTTCTGCCCAAAGTATCAGATTTATATTCGCCGTACATATTCGAGTTTATACGAATTCTGATTTCTGTATTTCCGCTCGGACTCCAAACTCAGCAGAAAACTAAAACTCTTTCGTCAGTTAAATGATAGACTTGCGACGATTCTACGCACAAACCCATGTTGGATTATAATTTATACCCTTAAATTTGGGGGCTACAATGCGGCCAGAAGTATACGATGTAAGTCTAGTGACTCAATATTTTGGGTTTTTCATCCTAATGATAATATTTTAGTTCTTAAAAAATACAATACGATAATCACATACTAAATTCGGGGAACTCTTTGGTAAATTTTTTATGACTATTCACAAGAAACTTTTATAGTAACGATAAATTAATAAAAAAAATACCAAAGCTAAAAAAGAAATCGCTTCATGGAAATAAGGCTCATTGGCTAAAGGTGCCAAGTATCAAATTATCATTATCAACTTTTTTTATTAGACCTTGTAAAGCTTGTCTTGTGTTTATTGTATTCCAAAAAAATCTTTGAGGTACTAATATTAATTCAATAAGTAACGAACAAAGGTTCGCAACAAATAAATTTTTAAGGGAATTTAAGGGAATACTTTTAAAATATTTGAAGTTTGATATAATCGATGGGTCTTAAAATGTTTTCGGTTTAAAAAATCCAAATCTTTAGAGAAGTGTTCTATGGGTTTTGAATCCTTAATTTTATGTCGAACTGAAAACGGGCAAATCCCTAAAACACGTGCAAAGGGAAGAGAGATGAACACGCCATGCCCAAACCGAAAACCGAAGGCAAACCATACGCAATCAAAGGAATAATCCGCAAATACCATGACCTGTGTTCCTCGCTCCCTTTACTTTTCGCACAATTCCCACACAAACACAGACGCAACTATAAAACTAATATATATAATAAATGGAGGGCTGTTTATCAGGCGCAACGCAATTTCACTTAAAAAACAATTTTCAAACACAGATCAAAAGCACAATTATATGTTCGAAACAAGAAATATGTACGAAATGTGCCAAAGACCAAGACTCGGTTGCATTTTCAGTTTCAGTTTCGATTTCTCGGTATGTGTTTCTGTTTCAGCTTCAGGTTCAGGTTTAGTTTCAGGTCCATAATTGCCGTTTATAACTTGTTATGGCACCAACACATGCAAACTGTCAGGATAAATCAGCTTGTGTGTATTCATTCCCTGCTCCTGTGTGTGTACAACCCCTTTTTCGAAAAACTTTCGAGGGTTTGTGGCATGTTCTGATCTCAGGACATTTACCTGAGTTATAAATCAATTGCGAACGCGCCAACCCTCGGTTAAAATCGCTCGCAAAACTCGTAAGGAAAACTAAGCCAAGCTAAAACCTTTAAATCCAACTAATTCAGAATAATTGTTCCCCCATCTCAATCACAGTCCACACACACCTTTTCTCGAATCATAAACAACTT